CATAGCAAAATTCTTGTAGACTCTTTCCTGTTGAATCTGTGTATCCATCAAAGTTTTTTAAGTGTGCGTTCATGTCTCCTAAGAAAATTACCTCCTGATTAGTGCCAATTTCCCTGACATTTCTTGTAATACACTTCGAGTGCGACGCATTTTCCACCCTTGCATAAGTCCCCAATTTTTAGATTAACAAATTCTACAAGCGCGTCTTTTGAAAGCCGTGGAGTGCACATGTGCTCTCCACGGCTTTCCCTCACCCTTTCTCAACCTTGTTCATTTACAAGTGCACCCAATCCTCCCCCTTTTCGTTCCCCTTTGCACCTACTGTGAGATGATGATAGTGATCCGAGATGATGAGAGCGATCAAAGTTGCCAGACTGAATTTCGAGAATGTTCTACTGACAGGTCATGCATTGATTTAGGCAACCTGCCAGACTCCCCACCCCGCTCCGAACGCACAGCAACACGATGAAGATGCCGGCAGCACTCATTTACAAATTGTTGAACGCCCAGGCAGACCGTGACGACGAATTAGCCTTCCAAGCACTTAGCGCCCCACAACGGCGCTCCTACAGAGGTCCGAAGCAGCAGCACCCGTCATCCTTCAAGGTACACAACGTCTGCATCCACTTTGCACGTGTCCAAATGGGAGTGGCGCAACAATGGACGGGCCGTCACGTCACGGGGGACACAGACGGTGAAAGGAGGTCGGGCCCCAAGGCCGCTTTGACGGCAAAGCGAGGTCGAGGCTGGCATGCCCCATTGGAGCTCTAGATCTGCCGAATGATAGGGACCTTTCTCTGATACTTTTTCCGGGCCTTTACGAGACGTTAAAACACTAACGATTCGTGAGAAGGTTGTTACAAAGAAACCTGGAGACATGTCTGGTATTGTTCCTTTCTCTACGGTTAAAATATTGACCTAGCCCACAACCTCGCTTTAAAGGGACGCTCGGGCGACTTCGGAAGTACGAGCAATCATCTCCCAGACGACAATAAGGTTGCTGCAAAGAGACTCGGAGATATGTTTTGCACCGTTCCCCCCTCGACAGTCAATATATTGGCGTCATAACAGGTAGCTTGCAACCACAATTTTAAAAGCTGCTTGGACAATATTGGAAGCTTGAAAAATTGTCTCCCAGACGACAGAGATTGCCAAGTTTGAACACAGACAGAGGTCTCATTGCTCCTAGAAATCAATCGAACCGTTACTATTCTTGGGGGCAACTTTATGTCACAATACGGTCAAACGTACCGGTGCACGTTCCCTCTCGCAGGCTCTGCGCCGGCTAAAGCTGCGCATGCGCTCTCCTCCTCTCCTCGGAAATTCCACAGAAACTTGTCCCTGAGAATACACTGATCGCTGTAGCGGGCGAGGAGGAAGGGGTATGTGTGACGTGTTCTGGCTTCCATAATAATTCGAGTTGAGTTTAAGCTCAAGGGAAAGCCGTGGAGGTTGCTCGATGCTGACACAGATAACACGCACACATACACAAAAAGAAAAACACACAGAGATGGACATTGGCCCCTTTCAACCCAGCACATGGCATATCACTTGTACCTAGCATTGTTTTGCAACCTGAGGTATAGATACCAGGGGATGGACTGGACTGTTTACCTTCTCCTGAAAACAAGCTCTCATTTCCTGCACACGGGTACCACTTGGGCCTGGCGTTGCATGACAACTCGATTAGTAGATGTGCAATAACTTATCTATCAACAAAAAAAGAAAAGGGTTTTTTGTCTTTGTTTTGTTAGATGATTAGTTTTTACAGGCCACCCATACTTTGTTTCACCCATGAAGTCCAGATGCAGCTGACTCTACGAACTGATTGGACCTATCAGACAGCATCAAAAGTGCACCATCATGGTGACCCCCATGTTTCTGTATGTGTTCTATTATCGCTGAACCAATCCTAAACAGACACTGCTTGATTGGTCCTGTTACCCCACACCTTCGGCTGCCTCTGAACTTAAAGGCCGACATACAGCCTCGTTTTCTGCAGAGAAGATAATCCTCTTAGCGTCCTCCTCTCCTAAGCTATGAGGGGGGCAGTGTAAAAAGAATGATATAGGAAAGGGGGAGACCAGCAAAAGTAGAAAGCGCAAGTATGTCAGCTTTTTAAGTTGAAATGAAATATACTCGACACAGCAAAAGTGGCATCACCGTGTTGTATCATATTCATTCATAAGCAATTAATGTTAGGTTGTCTTCAAGTCCTAGCCTATTGTGCAGCACAATGGGATTTAACAATTTACCAGTCATGAAGAGAGAGAGAGAAAATAAATGATAACTGGGGAGATTAGTTTTGCATTTGCTTCAATTTTGCTGCCTTTGTCTACGATTTATCCTACCAATGTGCAAAGGGTTTGCCGACGTCTTTTTTTGTCTATGGAATCAAAGTATGTTGGTTAACTTAATTAAAGCCGTTTGAAATTCCAAGCAAGTTATAGAATAGAGTATGCAAAGGAAACAGTGTTGTTGGCATGTGCGCCAGTCCAAAATGCAGTTTGGGCATGGCGCACATGCACATTGTCATGTCGCAATTTTTTTTGTGTTGTAACAGAATGTGCAAGTGCCGTAAAGACAAGGACAGAAATCGCAACTTTACTCCCACATCTTTGCATTCTTCTTTTGTACTTCGACGTACTAAAGGTTTTGCATATGCTCTTGCAAACTCACCACTATTGCTCCAAGCGTACACCTATCACTGTAAGAGGGCACCTTTCACAGCACTTCGGCCACAAACAAAGTGTTGGTGAGCATATGAACCAACAAGCATTAGCTGCCAAATAGAAAGGAGGTCGCCAGTCGGAAAGGATTGCATTGACATCATTCCATCTTCCGTGCTGGTAGTCTATCTGTCGCAAGTAGATGAACCGCCAGATTTTACAGCATAGAAGTGGTGCATGGAAGCAAGCAGTTCTACTAGCGCTGTCAGTTCTTATTATGAACGTCCAGTGCAAGCCACATGCGAAAATTAGCATTATCATAGGCTATTCCACTCACAAACTGTTGCTACTGTCCCAAATTGAAGTACGCTGCTGCGACCTGTAAACAGGTTTTCCTGGCAAACTGGAACGGACAATTCAGGCTGTCTCGCGTAGATTTCCCTTTTTTTAAGAACAGCCTTGAGCTCACATTAACTAAAGAGCATGTTGGCGAAATTGACTGACCACAGAAAGAATAAAGCAAACTCGGGAGGAAGGACAACAAATACTTCAGAAAAAATGAACAGCCTTGGGCCGTTCGCTTTTTTAAAAACGATTCAGTTATACATGTGTTCCCCGCCAGAATATGTAAAGTGTTCTTTTTTATATTGCAGAAATGAATTGTGCGTCACTGGACGCTCATTCTCTGCCCAAATGTAATGCTAGAGGTCTGAACCAGGTGCCAAAGTTCCAGCATTACCTGTTACCTTATTCAAAAGGTATCAAGTAATTTTCTGAAAATTTTAATGGGAAAATGGGGTAAAATTTTTTACTGTTTTCAGTAACAGACGCTATAGGCTCCTTGCACCCGACGTCACTTCCGGTTAGCCTTGAAATCAAAACCACCATCATCGTCTGCCATCGGTGCCTTGGCGCCATGTTGGAGGTATTCGGCGTCTTACTGCAGCAGCAGTAGTGCCGAAGAGCCATAGAGCTGCTTGCTCCCCTGGAGTTTGCCTTGCTCGCGTTTGATGATAAAACAAATTGGCGGCAAGCAGCCGATGGAACACAGGTCAGAATAAGCGTGACTTGTGTTTAACATCCTCGGGCGGCACTTGAATGCAAACGTGGAGTGCCATTGGACAGCAAAAAATTTGTTCTAATCATTTGCGGTGACTGACAAGAAAATTAGTGACGCCACTTAAACATGAAATCATTGGGGGATATTGTGCAAAACTTGTCAGCAGTGTAACTGGTACTCCAACTTCTGGACTGACTACACAAATAAAAGACTGGAGCTGCCGCACAAGCAATTTCGTCTGCTTTGCTTGTCTTAGTCAATCGCAAAGAGGTTCCTCAACTTACACACAAAGCGCAGTCCACAAATTATTAGTTGGCACAAAGCTTTCCTGTCGAGATTGTGCCGGCGTAGCCATTCATGACACTGACGAACCAATGGCTCGAGCGTCGCCTTGTCCTGGTTTCTTACGATTACTGGAATTCTAAACACACCAATACTGCTAACCATAGCTCCAAACTGTTGCTGACTTTTACGGCTGGAACAATAGATTGCGGCACAACTGACCACTTTAAACCTCGAGCGAGCGGACGAACGAGAGTGTGAACACGGCCCTAAAGCACACAAAACGTAGCATTACAGCGACCATGGAGGTAGGAAGAAAAGGAGGCAACATACCGGCTCAAGTCAGCCAAATGGAAAATACCGAGTGACGCAGGAAGTAGAGGTTGCGGTTGGTGAGGACGCCCCCAAGGGTGCCCAAAAATGTCCTTTTCGTCCAATAGAGTCCTTTGGTTTCGTTCGTTTTTGGTCATCAATGGGGGCGTGTGCCTCTGGACCAGAAATCTCGTCTGGTTGCATGCACCTCCAGAAGCTTCCTAACTCCATGACAGCGACGGATGCCTCCAAAATGGATTCTGGCCGGTTTTGCCGATACTTTAGAACCGGAAGTAGCGTTGTATTGTGTCTCATCCATGTATTCGAGAGCTCTGTCAGCCGCCACTTTTCCATTGAAAATTTGAGAAATCACTTATAACGTTTAAATAAGTTAACGGTCTGTGCTTAAACTTTGGCATCTGGTTCAGATCTCTAGTGCTACAGTTGGGCGCAGAAGGAGCATTTGGCGGTGCATAGTTTATTCTTTGTGATGAAAAAAAAAACTATTTTTATTTTGTTTTTTTGGGGGGCACATTTTGTACTTACGAACAGCAAAAGAAGGACCGAAGGCCGCGTGTCCCTAGGAACCGGACCTTCGGCGTCGATCAAATCTACTCCGGAAACGCGCAGCCCAGGCAGTACAAGGAGGTATACTTGGGAAGGTCAAAACAACTCACCTTGTGGCCGCCGTAGAACGCGATCTCCTCGGCGTTGGCGATGAGCCTGGAGTGCACAAAGCGCAGGTACCCCTTGCGACGGGCCTCCTCTGCGACCATCTTGCCGAAGCGCGGTGTCATCTTGCGCAGGATCAGCGCCGTCACGCAGACGGCGCAGAAGGCAATGGCAGGGGCTGGCACGCCGTACGCACCCATCTCGTGCGCCATCCTAAACAGGGTGAATGTGATTACCACTACGTCCAACATCGGCTTTGTGATGTGTGAGTAAAGGTGCGCCACGGACTGGCTGAAGGTGGTGATGTCCTCGGTGAGGCAGTGGTCGGCATTCTCAAGCCGCCCGTCCAAGTTGCTCACGCGATAGTACGTCTGGTTCTTGAAGTACAGCCCGTACGCGTAGCGAACCAACCGCGTTCGGAATGCCAGCGACAGCTGGCTCTCGAGGAAACGGATCAGGCTGTTGACAAAAGTGGCCGGGATGGCCACCAGTAGCCACTTGGAGAGCTGCAGGGCGAAGCGAGTCATGTCCTTGCGGACGATGAACTTGACCACTTGCCCTTCGAGCCGGGCCACGTAGATGGAGAGGAACGTCCGTGAGACCAGCGACAGCGTGTGCAGCAACAGTAGACCGGTCTCTATCGTCCGTACCCCAGGAATCATGATCCGGAGGAGCTTGAACAGCTGCAGCACGAACGTCTTGTTGAAGGCGGGGAAGCTTCGAAGAGACGCTAGCGTGCCCACGCCGTTCGAGTCCGTCTTGACGGGCGGCGAACTGACCGCGGCCAGCGCGAGGTCAGTGACACTAGTCACCGTTTTGATGCGCGTTCTCTCCGGGCTCGTCGTCGAGATGCGGTCCTGGGCCGCCCGGGCTTTCTTTTTGAGCGAGCCGGCAACGTTCGAGACGATCGGGTAGCCGACGCGGATGACGTACGCGGCGAAGATGCCCGCCGCGAGGGCACGGGTGATGCGTTCCCTGGGCACGCCATGGCTGTCCGAGAACTTTTCGATCAGCTTGGACAACGAGTTGGTCATTTCGAGAAGGGGGCCGACTGTTCGAAGAGCCCGATGCGCCTTGGGTCAGTCGCGATGTCGAGGAGGCATCGTCGTCGCGCGAGGGAACGAGCACCAACAACCATCCGCCGCGGCCCCTCGACCACTCCGCGACAGGCTCTTCCACTCGGAGGATTGAGAAACGGACTGTGCCGTACGTAACCTTGGAACGAGGAATAAAAATACACAAATCGCTCGCCCCAACCTGACAGACCAGAGAGATGCTGGAGATGCCTGAGCGCTCACTTCCCACTCTCCTCACGCACACGAACAAAAGTAAAACCGCGCAAAAGAACGACGTAGGCAAACTGGGCAAGCTGAGCAAACGGGAAGCTGGCGAAGCACCGCCGCGCCGCCGCTGTTCTTCTTCCGCGACAAAACGTAAACCAAAATATTTCCAAGTAAATTGACCCAAACAATAAAATAAAAAATACTTGAATGCAAAGGATGTTATTTTAGTAAACTTTATAACAGTTTTTAAAATATGTATATAAATAAAAAAAGTATGAAGTACCAGCTTAATTTGTAATGTCAAATGTAGAGACACTCTGGTATCATACAAACTACCACGTTCCAGCGACTCTCGAACGGCATATAATTCAGCGACGGCTAGTTCCGGTTTCATTTTCGATAGCCACACGCGTGAACAACCTTGCGTGTTAGAAAAGAGTTTTCTATATCAATTTATTGCATTATTGTCTCGTAAAATATATCGATCATTTAAATTCAGTGAAACCATAATTTGTTAATAATAAACGTGTTATAAGCTTTAACAGGATCTGTCGCTTTCGTTAGCATTCTCCGCATCGCGCAGTGACACTTTTTCCTTTGCGAACTGCGAACACAGCTGTAGTGCTGCGGTGCGAGCTCGCGTAGCAGACGACGGTTGAGAAGACGTGTCCCAAATGAATTGGTTTCGCGGCCCTCGTTATCAGATCAAAGGCGTTGCTAAAAGGAAGATGCAACAGGTGGTCTACTTACTCTGCTCTTAAAGATTTCGTAATCCCTTCTTTAAAAGGAAAAACATCTTTTCCCAGGAATTTTTCAAGAGGCAACGATTGAAAAAAGCACTACAGGAGATGCCGCCAAAGTGGCCGAACTTGAGTGGTAGGTATACTAACCTCTTCAAAATGGACTTTCTCTCCGAGAGCTTATGTTCCGCCAAAGGTATACGAAATTATAAACGCAAAAACAAAACAATCAGAGTGATAACTTATTTATGGTACGAACTTTCAGAATCTGAAACACCCACAGGTTTACCAGCAGGATACCTAAACAGATCTTCACTTAGTCGATCTGAGGACTTTGTGATTGAGTATAACTTCGCCTCTTATAATTTCTCTAAGGTATGCTTAAGAAAATCATATTTCATGTCTTCTTCCTGCAGTGAAGATGAAATTCCATTTCCGACCCATGTCCAGCCATTCAACTATGACAACTTCAGAAGCGCAGTGGATAGTCCATACAAGTAAGTTCCAGAGAAAATATGCCAAGCTTTTTAGATAAGAGATATTAATCAAATTTCCTCTTTCCAAATGACCAGCCCAGATTGGCTGGAAGTGTCTCTCAGCGAAAGTCCACAGTCTGTAATGACCCAGCATGAACTGCAAAAACCGACGGACTTTGCACCCCAAAGTATCGTGACGAGGCCCATTGGGACGCCACGGTTTGCTATCAGGTTTGTTTAAATCAGCATCTCTGATCCAGACCATCAAAGTATACTGTGACTGATTTTAGCTATGAAGACCTACCCTGAATTATATGGTGGCATACCCACTGAACACGAAGTCGTCTATTAGACGTCTAAAGACGTCTTGGCAAGACGAGCAAGAGGTCTTGTATAAGTCTTGGCAAGATGTGATAGCCTAAAACATCTTGAGTCATCTTGTAGCCGCCCTGTAGACTTCATAATGCTCCCGCTTTTTGGTCTACAAGACGTCTTGCAAGGCGTCTCCTAGACATCTTAGAGACAGCTGCAGGACGCCCAGGACGCGAGTCTTCTCTTTGAGATGTCTTTTAGATGTCTACATCAAGTTATCTTGACGCGTCTTGTGAAGATGTCTTATAGACGCATTGCGTAGCCCAAGACGTCTCTAGCTTAGTCGAGCCGTTTCAAGCCGGCTACGAGACGTCTTGTGCTCAGTGGGATATATATACGTAACTGCTTGCTATTTAGCGGCATAGCCTCCTCTGTACTCACAGAGCCTGGTAGTTTGACGACAGAGCCAAAAAGACCGGTCGCAGATTTGGAGCGCGAGGATCTGGTGGCACAAAGCATCAAAGAGCCATTTCTCGGGGAACCTGGACGTCAGCGCACAGCGTTTGCAGTGGCGAGGACATGAAACACGCTTGTTCGCTCGAGAGAGAAGTGTGTTTCGGCGTCTCGTCGCAGCGGGGCGCCAGTCACATCGGTCTCCTCTCATCCGTTGTCTGCCGCTCCACCTCTTTCATTTCGGCGGCCGCTTCTCGTGGCCATCTGCCAGACTTTGTCAGTAAATAGGAGGCTTTGGTAGTGATAAAAGCCTGGTTATAATATGCATGATTCAGCATTTTTATTTGCATTATAGGGAAGCTTACGAAAAACTAGTAGACACAAAACTATACAGAACTTTGTTTTTAAAAAGCATCCTTTTAGAACAGTGCATATATATTTGCTCTCGTGGTCCTCTATCGATATTTAGAACTGTAACAGGCTCTGCCAAAGATTTTGTCTCTTGGCAGCTTCATAGAATTTGTTTAATTCAATCAAGTATGGTTCATTCATTTGCATATTTTTTATTAGAACTGTAACAGCATTCACGTATGCTTTCTGAGCAAAGCATAATATATTGTCTCCCATAGGTCAATAGAGAAAACATGGCTTTTAGTTATAGGTCTTTGCACCCGAATATGCAACCAACGTGAGGCAACACTATGGTTGCTTAATCATGTATGTAAAATAGCTCAAGGTCATGATTATGACCTTAAGTTGAATAGCGTAAATTGGTTTATGTTGCACAATAACTGCACAACTAAATGTAGACCTGCGAGAAGAAAAATATCATCCGCTGCCTCGTTTGGTCCGTCATTTGTAGCATTACGTTCAATCACAGTTGCAAATGTTTAGTTCATTGAATGCACGTGGTCTCCAATTCACAAGCGAATCACCGGAGTTTCAGAAATGCGTATGGAGCCAGCGTTTCTGAAAGCCAGCCACCGCAACTCCCAGTACTTGAATACGAGCATCCACTGCCTTCTGACGCACAGGTAAGTCACGTGGTCACCACCACACCCACACTAAGTTCTCAATACTGTAGACATTACAACTGCAAATTTGAAGGCCAATCAAAGAAACAGTCACTGTTTCAAGTCTCCCAATAGGCTCTCCCGACTGTTGCTACAGTTTCCGCTTCATCCGTCTCATATCATTCACCTACCTATGCTAGCTTCATTCAATTTACCCGCACCTCCTGCACCGGTACAGAAAAGTGTGGGGCGGTGAACTTCTGATCGTATCTCAATACACATACCGGAAGTGCACTGCCACACACTTTTCTGCACCGGTGCAGCAGGTGCGGCTATATGAAACAAAGCTACCATAGACTACTCAGTAATCATCTCCTGCATGCTGCCATCTTTGTCTAGGTACTGGACTGTAGTGCCTGCTCCGAGCATGCGCAACATCTCTCTTCTGTGAAACATCATACGTCGTGCATGCTTCCACGGCCTAGAGTGACTCTGCATTTTTGTCCCCACTGATAAGCATCGGAAAGGTGCATAGGAGTTGCCTTAGATGACCAGAGCTTCTTCGTCAGCCTTCTCGGCAGTACCTTCGCTTCAACCAGTATCAATCGATAGCGTCATTTTAATTAGTCACTTTGAAAACATCATTGAATGCAAAAAATAAAGATGGGAGGGGAAGAGGGGGAGGTTTAGGAACAGTTTAAAGATTGAGGAACCTCTTTGAACTATTACAACCGAAAGGCTCACTTGTTAGCAAGAGGCCAAAAAAAAAAATAGACCAGCCGTGCAACAAAAAAAAAAAAAAAAATTTGTCTTGCGACGCGGCACCATAGTATCTTTCGGTGGACTGTGGTACCCACAACCAGAGTTCCGACCCCCCTCCCCTCCACCACCTCAACTGGAAATCCATAGGTCAGCTTGACCTTGAGGCCAGAGAGGAAGCATAGATCGCAAGTCTGGCGTTGCGTTCATAGTCTGAAATAGAAAAGTATGCTGCACAAGTATTGAGAAGCAGAATAAAAAGGAACTCCGGCGTCTCGAGCACCCGGCCTTACCGAGAGCTCGCCTTACCCAGATACCGACCGGACAGCCCGAACAATGCGCGTCAACCTCCTTCCAAGGCAGACGGACGAGACAAGGTGGAGGCGGCAGCAATGGCGCGTCATGTTCTTCCTCCACCCTCGGTGAGACCCGAACGGCACGGTAAAAGTTTGAACTACGCCTCCGAGTTTGGGTACCTCTATAACGCGAGCAATCCATCGAGTAATGCGGAGTGTTAATTCGTCTGCTTCTTTTGCAGTGGTTGTGGTGACATCAGAACGCCGAGATCCGATTGGCTCTGAGTGATGGATAGTGGGTAGACCTCAAGGCAGCTTGCTTTGAGGTCTACCCCCCATCTTTCCATCGGTGCCAATCAAAACGGCGTCATTCTGACATCACCGCAATCCCTTCACAAAACGCAGACAACTTGCTTTCTGCATATGGCGGTTCCAAAGTGAGAATGCCAGATACGACAAGATGGCTCGTAACAAACGGACACCATAAAATATTTACGAAGAAAGGCATCTCCGCAAACGCCGGCGCACAACTTTTGACAGACATTTCGTACGGCATCAATGATCGCTGCAAACGAGACGCGCTCCGATGACTTGTGGAATTGTGGCTGCAATGTGCACGGTGTGCGACCGACGAATCGTATTCGTCGCTTCGGAGCTGGTAGCGGGCCGACATTCTTACGGAGACGACCCACCCTCTTTTGAAAGGTTTCCGTAAAAAGAGTGGGCCGCAGACTTTCTTAATTGCCCGACACAAATGTTGGCAGTGGTAAAGGCGCCGGTTTGCATGTCTTGCCTTTCCTGTAACCAACTGCGTTGTGTTCTCTTGTAATCTGTCGGGTAACCCTGGAACAGTTCCAACCTACACACATATTTATTTTTTAAGCGTCATTCTTTCGCCGCGTGCTCGAATAATTCTGACATGTTGCAGCGACTGTTTCTCATCTGTAGTGCATAGATATGGTCTCGCCAATACTGCAAAACCTTTAGTTTAGTTATATACCCGATAGGAGGCACCAGTCTGGCGGGGTGTTAAGTGCTTACGAGACGATGCAATGCACTCGACACAACAGAAGGCAAATGTGTCGACAAGCCTCAAGGAGTACACAAGTGGAACGTCTCGTCTGCACGAATCTCTCGAGAGCCTACGGTGGCCGTACTGAACCGGTCCATAGTTTATAATATTAGGGGTGGGCCACAGTTTCTGTTTCATGCAAGGACTACGGATAACCAACACATTGCCTTTCTTTGAACCACAAAGATTCCATGATCAGCAGCCCCATATCCGTGACCAGCCGGGTCAGCGAGCCACGAAGCTACGGAATGGAGACTCAAGTTTCAGAGGAAAGTGTGTTTGGTTATAGTTTAGTTTATTTTCTTTTTTACCATTTAGGAGATCTGCAACCCAAAACTCTCAAAGCCCCAGACACGGTCAAAAGTGTCTGCGCAACAAAAACGATCCCTGCAGCTGAAAGTTTTGTACAGAACCATGCACAAACTGTTCCATAAGATTGCACAAATGTTAAAATTTTCGAATAGTAGTTTTGAATAATAAGCTATTCGATATTCGCTTCGAGATGAGCTGCGATATGTTCATATTTTCCGCGGCATGTTAGCCCCGTAGAGCGTGTTTCTTGCCAAACATCGCTGCGCTGTGGAGAAGCAACACCCGCGGAGCTCGCTTTCGCAGATGCTGCTTCCCCGCAGTGCACCGGTGCTCGGTAAGAAGAGCACTCAACGGGGCTGGCCCGCCATAACTAACTTTTCGAAAAATATGAATACTGCAGTTGCATGCTCAGAAGAAAAACACAATTTCGAAGAGGTAACGTGAGACATGTTGCACTAACCACACACAGCGCTCATAATACAGCCGCAGGTTCTTGCCACCAAGTTTCAGGCTTGGAGAAAAGAATGGCCACATGTAAGGACAGAAAAACTTATACCGCTAATTTTCTCTTGCCCATGAAACGAATTTTGGGCTGGAATAAATCAATTTATATTGGGATTTTACTAATAGCCCATTGTTCAGTGGGCCAAAAGAAAAAAGGTAGAATGTCAAAAGCCTGACTTTCGGTATGAAAATTTGAAAACACAGAGGACTATTTCACACCTCCTTCCCTTCGTAAGCTCTCTGCCGTTTTACTGTGATACATCCACGGTCCCCGCAGCGCGTCACCGGGCCCAAATGCACGTCACACGGCACCGGACCTCACTTAATCGCTTCACCCCTAAGCTGGCATTGTGGTGGAAGGTATGTGCTTGCCGTACCAATCAGCCGTTTCCCTTTCATCATCTGAGCTCATTCTCTGCGCGTGGGTATGCACGAGAGATCATGATCACGTGGCAAAAGTGTGGCTGGCCAAACGAGCCCGTAGCTTCCACAGCACTCTCAGTTTCAGGGTGAACGGGGTGGGGAAGGCAACTTTTGGCTGAATTTTGAGAGACAGGCTAATCTTCTAGGGGGAGAATGGCGGTGCCCGGGTACACAAACAATATTCCGAGCAAGAGGGGCTCCCCCTTTTCCGTCTTCTTGAACTGTTTGGTAGAATGCACGATTTAGGAGTTGAGAAGGAAAGCTAAACAGGAAAAAGTTGGAAAAGCATTTCATGACTCCTTTAAGGAAAAGAACAAGCACGTGTAAGGTTTAAAAAACTTGTATATCTCCCATTTTAACAGGCATCCAGAACAAACCGTGAGCAGCGACAAGTTCCAAGTGAGTTATCTTCTTCCCTCTTTGATGATTTCTTTTTTAAACGACCTAACTGCCAAGTCATGTGCAAAGGTCAAGCGCAGCTTTTAATAGTGCCTATAAAGCTGCTAATTCTGTGCCATGCTCCTAGAGATAGTCAACAATAAAGTCCCCATCCTAGAGATAGTCAACAATAAAGTCAGACTTGTTAAATTACCTTTTAGAGATGTGAGCTGCACACACATCAGATTATAGCTGCCTGGAAACTATTGCACTCTGGACCATATTACTACAGTGGCTTAAAGGGGGTAGTGTAACGAACAAACCCGGAGAAGCGGCACAGTGTTGGAAGACGGCCGCGGGCGGCGCTGGCGCTTGCAGCACCGTCGTTTTGGCTATGGCTCCGGCTTGGCCGCTTGGTCAGCTTGGCTCCGGCCGATTCGCAGCAGACGACTACACTGTCGTCTGCTAGTTTCTTCGCCTTCAAACACGAATCATGTCGTTGGAAGTTCACTGGAAACAAATAATTGTTTTTGAGGTATTTATATTAATAAGCGTGTTAGGGTGCCTCTATCTGCCGGCCGATTGAGCCACCCAACGGTGCTACGGATTGAAGCGCCACCTACACCGTCTTCCCAGGAGCAGCCGTTCCCAATGCATGGTGGAGGCTACGCGATAACCACACTACCCCTTTAAGCCACTGTAATATTACTGTTAACTATGCACTAGTTAGAATTTTTATTATAGCATTGCACAACGAATAAGAGCGACATCTCGAATCTCAATAATAAACGAGTTCGACAAAAGGCCGGGGCTTTAAACTCAGCATATCTAATTTCATTCCTGTCATCCTATGCCAATAACCTAGAAGTCTGTATTCATGCATGCTAGCCAATATAAAAATAAGAAAGCGAACCTGTTACATCACTTAGCCAGCATGCCAGTTGAATAGGAACAGCAAAAACTTCTCTAATGTATTTGGGGCTGCAACAATGCACTTTCAGTCCACCATGCGGTGGTTTGCACCGACTTGCATAGTACTCACAACGGCTACCCCAATTTCGTCTGCTAGCCAAGCCAAGTCCCTCCGGAGCAGAGCAGTCCACCAAAGGCACCTGGATCGAGGAGCTGCAGAGGCGACACCAGGCCGCCTTGATGGAAGAAATCAAAGAGCAGATCTTGTTCAAACCGACTGACCACTTCTCCATCTCGTCCGTGTTCGACGAAAACGGCGGTGAGCCCTTTCCGCCGAGGAGGAAGAGCCTGGCTGCCAAACGTCGGACGCTCGACGACGAGCTCGAAGACCTCCGCGAACCATCAACCTCTTCGTCGTCATCGAGTGACTCGCAGGTTCAGCAGACGGAACCGCTACCCTTGAGCCGAGCAGACGGATGGAGCTCCACCATGACTAATGACACCAGGCCGGCATCCTCCACCCCGCAGATCACACCCTCCAAGTCAAAGTTCTTTGAAGACGCTACGTCCATAGAGCCGTTAGAAAAAAAGGACACCACGAGCAGCAAAGTTTCGACTCCACGACGCACGACAAGCCAAACGCCGACGCAGCGTGCCGCCGACCCAAGTGCCATGTTTACGCCTCGCAGACGTTCCGATTGGGTACCGGCGTCAACGACGCTGACGCCGCAGATTCGACTCGGAGCAACACCGACGCCGAAGACGCGTGAAAGTCGCGGTGCCGAAGCGGCGCAAAGAAAAGAAGCCACCCGAAGTTTCGACCCAACTGCCGTTTCACCGGGTGTGGCAGCAACTCCTCGTCGTGAAACGGCAATCCCGATTACCCCGGCGCGGCAAATGCCCAACACCCGTCCTGAGTCTGCGTCCATGTTGTGGGAAAGCCGAGATTTCATGGAGACAGAAAAGAAAGAACTTTTAGAGCAGAACGACAGGCCCTTCAAAAACGTAACTTCGACGCCGACTTTGTACCATACAGTCTCGACCCCACGTAACTTCTCGACGACGACGTCGAGTCCCGTTGTTCGACCGGATCCAGGTTTGAGCTCGTGCAGAAGAAACATACCGAGCTCACCACCGAGATTGCCTCGTAGCATTGAGCCCTTCCGGACACCCTATAAATGCATGCTCCGGTCACCAAGGTCAGCGTGGCACACACCGAACAGTTATCTCGAACCGACGTCAACATCCCAAAAACACGAGTCCGTAGTATTGAAAGAGGAGGAAGTCAACCACGCTGACGGACAGAACGTGAATTTGAGTGCAGTGGCAGTGCCACCTCACAAAGACTTGAGCCGGCCGCTACTCTCAAACCAGAACTTTTTTCCGAAGCCAAACTCGAGTTGCGGCATTCATTCCGAGCAAAGGAACGCGTCCTCACCTACGAGATCGCTCAAGCATGCCGTCGCAGAACCGGTGCCAGAGTCGCCAAAGTGCTCGACCGGCGTCGAAACAACGCTTCAACGAGTCATCGCTATTGAAGAGGTCGGAGAGGGAACGCACAAAAGCCTACGTCGCGAAGACACCGATGGGGCTCGACAAAGCGACGGCACCAAGTCATCCAATACACTCACCATCAAGGTTGTTCGAGAGGGCTGTCGGACCTGCGGGCGGAGCACCGCGAAAGTGGAGAAAGCGTGTCAGACGGTTCCAGATTACGCCACGGCCGGAAAACTGTTAGACGACTGTACATCTCCACTTGCCTAGAAGGCGGCGTCAATGACACTGCACATTCATTTCTATATTCATGCCAATGTTATAGTTTGTTCAAATTTATATGGTTGTGCCGAGTTAGACATCACACGCAGAAATGTGTGACACATTGACAATCACTGACAAGGAGGCCAGGCCACAGTCTCCGCAATGATAAGTCTCGAACGAAACGTTAAATCATTCTATGTTTAATCCTTAAAAATAAAGCCTATCTCGATTTGCCACACATTTCAAAGCATGCCGTTTGGAAGCATGTGGCACAAGTTTAATTACTCGTTTAATAAAATTAACTATTCGAAGTGCAATGCACATCCACTGCCCCCGATTAGTGAAGTGTCACTCTTTTAAATGTAACAGCGGGAAACTGCTTGCGCCATTTGGTGCATGGCACAACGCGACAAGATGTTTACGAAGAAAGACACAGCATTGTCAACGTACAGATGACTTCCGCTTCTTTAATGACTTGCGGAAGCCTGTTTATTATTTTTTTTATTTTTACACGAATGCACACCAAGACGTGGGCAGAGAATAAAAGCCTCTTGGCATACCAACGTCTCGAGCAATCATAACATCGTTCCGCCGAGCGCGCGTATGTCACGTCCGCGGCGGAACACCTCCGTGCCCCTCTCAACAGGACCAAACTAACACATGCACAAGTGCATTACAATAACAACGTGTCCAAAAAATCAATGTTGAAAAAGGGATTTCTCACATCTTGCATAACGCGCTCTCGCAGTCTGTCGCATATTACCATGCACGAGACAGAGAGACGTATGGAAGGGTCACGAAACAAGAATGCCCTTCGAACCGGCAATAAAACTCTGCACTCACGTCACAACGGTACGATCTAAACAGTGTTTTATCCTTTGTCGGAGTGCTAGCATGTATAGCTTCGAAGAAAGGTGCAACATTACAAGTATGGATGTATATAATATTATATATATATAACTGACTTTGGTGGCGTCAACCTGCAAAGCATCGGTTTGCGGAGAATGACGAATAACGCGTGTTTCTTACTTTGTATGGAATGACCGGTGACGCACTTTGTTTGCTCGGCGAAACGAAGCGCCGCTTGAACAGCACCCGTTTCGGCTTGTGGAAACATACGTCGGCCGCGAAAGGAGAGAAGCGTTAATTTAAAATCTTTGAGACGAGCCTTGAAAACTTTGCGGACACTTCGACGCCGCACTTGGTCAACTCGAACGACGTCGGCCCACTCTGTAGTCTCCAAAAAACGGTCAGTACAAAGGCGTGCCTGACATTGCTCGAAGGAACGTGCGATGGCTGAACATACTTGCTAAGTACGCCGGGAGACCGGCTACCGGCCGCCCTCCAACGGCCGTAGCCCGAGCCGTTTCGAGACGGTGCACAGGTTTGTTCGCGTCACTTTTGATCGCTCTGTAGTCTCCGTAAAGCGAGAAAGGAGCCGGCAAAGGCAGGACGCAGTCTTTTTCTTTTTTCAAAATGGTATCACAGCACACTGGACGACGGTTCTGAACAAAAGTAGCTCGCACGCAACTAGGTTAGATGTAGCCTGCCTTTCGTAAAAACACAAAGAATGCCCGACCGGGAATTGCGGGGTTGCCAAAAGTAGGCATCTAACTGCTATGAGAGGATGCGCTTGGTTGCCAGCGTGCATAGGAGACGCGTCCACTCGTTCAAGCGGAGGTCGGCGTGCCGGCCAACATTGTGCCAAGACTGTGCCAACATCGGGCCAATGTTCTCTTCCGTAACAATATTTACAGACTCGGGGTCTTAAAGTATCAGAATCCAAGCATAAGTTCTCAAGCTGGTCTCTTAGGAACTGTGTCGGGCCCCCCAAAGCACCCCGTCATAGCTTCGCAGAGCACTCAAATTTCTCACCCCAGCCCCCTAAGTAAGGCGCTCTTTAAGTTTAAGCACTATTTTAGCAGATCGTAGATTGATACTTGGCTACTCATTGATACTTGGCTTGAGTGAGCCAAATGATACTCATTGATACTTGGCTTGAGTGAGCCAAACACTCCCTTACCGTTTACAAGGTCTGTAGCCTCCCGTACTGCTTTACCGCAACAATGCCATTCAAGGCAGAAGGGCGTTCCCTTCAGATTGAAAAGCTTTAGAACCGCTGGATTGCAATTGGGGCAATTCTGTTGCCATTTCCCACGGTTTTTAGGTGCTAAATAAGGGACTTATCGTTGTTGGTATCAAACTACATTTTATATTTCTGCTTGTAATTCAGAGGCACCACTCTTGTCTCCATCTTCATGTTAAAAATGTCCTCTAACATGATAACTCATGTTTAGTTTGTATCCCGTTAATGAAAGTCTTGTAACACGTTTAATTTACCTAGTCGGCAGTGGAATGTTTTTACGTGCGAAAATTCGCTTACGGAATGTTGGCTTTACGACTGCTCTAAAACAGGACAGAGGCGGTCGCACTAACGACGGCCATTTCGGAATTTTCTAACCCAAGTTCCACTTCTGGGTAAAAGTAAGTCTACTACTAGGCAAAAAGCAGACATTGGCTTTCGAAACAACAATGAAGCTGCCATTTTTTTCTTTCAGCTCATGATGATACCAGAAGCACACAAAACAAATGTTGGCACAATGTTGGAACAGACCGGCCTCAGACCTGCGGGTGTTATTGCTGCAAATTATAGCTCGTGGGTGGCAATGCGTGTCGGAGTGTAACATTGTGCTAGTCAACTATGGGAAAATATGTTTGCTATATACTTTCAAAGTTTCGCCGTCAAGGCATTGGTCTATTCACAGTATTGCATCAATAACGGTAACAAGAAAATAATACCTCCGTTCGGTCCGCGACCGCCACCAAATCAAAAATGCAAAGGGACACGGTTTCTAAGTGAAATATCTATCACAAAAAAGAGTAAGTGACTCCTTATATAAGCATGTGATTTAACACAGACTGACCTCCTACCAGTAAACATGGCAGAAACATGTCATAAACATCAAAACTGTACAATTCGCTGAAACAGAATGACTACCATTAACCTCGTAAACCAAACAAACACTGTACATAATAGTAAACTCCACACCGTAAAAACAAGTCATAAATGGCAAAACAACACGATCCATTCAAACGGAATGTCGACCGTAACCCTCGTGAAATGAACAAACGCTGCATGTTTGCGAGATGGAAACGAGTTTGCCCTGTATGACGCCAAGGTATTGCTAAGACTTCTGCGGCTAGAAAGGGGCGTCCGCCCGATGTTTCCAACACACGGCGAGTCGTGCCGAAGGAAACGCGAATTCCTATTGGTCCTTGCCTCCTATTGCAACGTGGCTGGGGAGAAGCTATCTCAGCCCTTCACGTCTTCCTTGGGACTTAATCGCCGACTAGCGTACTGACAGGGACCACTGTGGTCGAGTGACGAGAAAGGGGCACATTTCTAAATGGCGGGGTGACGTGCGTCATTGTTAGAAAGGACCACGAGATTTCAAAAGCGATTAATAATGGTGCCCTTAACGGGCCCCCTTAATGGTGGGCTATTAATGGAGCCAAAACGAACATCCCCAGTCGAAGCCTTGCGATAAACGTTGCGGACAAAAAATCAGAACGAACAGTCGAATGACGAGATTAGAGAAGGTAACGCGGCACGAGCTGCACAGCCGTCGAAGCCGCGTTACGCTTCTCGAGCAAGTACAGATTGACATTTGCAATGTCACTCCTTCACTCTCAGGCGGTGACTAGAACGTGGGTGAATGGTGCGACGCTAAACGGTGCCTCGTCGCCGCAGACGCGACGGTGGATCAAAGTGATTGTGTTCTTGGGATCGGCGGGCCGTGTAGCCCATTGTGCGGCCTCCCCAGAAACGATGAAAGCATGGTCGGATTCGGGGCAATTGTATCGTGGCCCGAACGATCTCGGCGAGGTCGTTCGGAAGCGGCATGTGATCGAAGGGTGAAAGCTGTTCGAACGAACATCTCCAAAAATAAAGAGAAGACGGCGTCACGCCATTAACGTGCGTGCTCCAAAGTTGTCGCAGCTTTACCGTACTCTTTCCTCTTAACAAAAAATGTAAGGGGGGAGGAAACGAGTAGAAATAGAGGTTAACGACGCACGTAATATAAAAAAAATTGAGGTGAAGAATGATGATTCCGTTTAAATGCTAGGGACGAGAGAGATGAGACACGAGACAGAACGCATATATACACAAAATCAAAAATCACTAAAATAAAGAAGAAAAAATTTCACTACATCGCGAAACAACCGAATTCTCGCAGCACCCCCGGAGGCGCTTTGAGGCCTCCAAATTAAATCCTCCTTCCCTACAGCACCACTTGTACTCCTTCTACAACAATCGTGTAAACAAAATCGCCAACAATAACGCGAAAAAACCGGCGTGCAAGGACTCCGCAACCGCAGGAGTTGCTTCTCGCCGTGTGCCAACCGCGGGAAAGAGTCGCTGGATGCCACCGGAGTGCAGCTGCGTTCCGTCGCAACTCGGCACTCAGCACCAGGACACAAGGACGTGAGAAGTTCCGGAGCTTTGGTACTTTGGTGGTATCCAGCGATTTCTGAGCCAGGGTTGGTAGCCTAACACCCGAGGGTTAAAGGGGACACCGAAGAAAATTTCAAACTTGGAGTCTGCAGTAGACGTTTGCTGGCGGTACCCTGCCAGCATTGCTGCTACTGCCGTGTGTCCGAAACGGACTCCGCAGCATCGGAAAACCGTAGATGGCGTAGCGGCACGTCGAAACGCGAAGACGACGCAAAAAGGTGGCTGGAGTGAATTCTGTTGCATACGGAGGCATGAGCCAGTACTTTCGAGAGCTGCTTTGGACACCGTCGAAAGCAATCACTAACTCGTGCTCTCCGCCGAGCTCTACAGCAATCGCTCGACCACGTCATCGCAGTCAAGTAATAGACCGATCTCGCCGGCCAGTTTCATAACGTCGCCGCAGACAGCAGAGATCGTGGCAACTTTTCGTTTTTTGCGAATGCGATAAGTGCGCCGTAGGTTCGCACAAGCAAAGCACGAGACGGCACGAGCTGTCTCATGCTTCCTGTGACTGAAGCTATGTCCGAAGCTTCTAGATCAAAGTCGGTTGACAAGCATCCAGAACATCCATCTGCTTAGTGGTACTCGCTACGCTATTGACCCGGCCCGTATGGAACGAAGCGATGGAATCGGTGGAACATTGGATGCACATTGCCTGCTGTGGAAAGCGATTCTACAGCGTTTTTTATAAGAGATAGCAAGTTTGTACAAAAGGAGCATCGTCCGAAAATGGTCCTTCGCCGTTGCCCGTGGGAGCACGGGCAACGGGGAGTCCCTGTCCGCCCGTACTTGCTCACGCAAGGGCAAAGGAGAAGGACCATTTTTGAACGACGCTCTTCCACGAAGCTCGTCAACCGATAGGTCTAAGAATTTCGGTTACGGCAACATCACGCGTGCGTGGATCGGTTAGTGAGATCGGTCCATCGTTGTTGACCTATTCAACGAGCGACGAAGAAGACAGCAACGCAAAAGTTCCCTCTCTTTCTACACGTCAATCTTTGAAAGCGGTTTCCCTCGAAAAAAATACATTCGCCCTAAACATTTCTGAAAAACTACCTTAACGTCCCGATCACCCTCGTTATCATAAAACGCGTTAATTAGATAACGTTCGAAACTTTCTTGGTGTCCCCTTTACCCAACCCCCGAAAAAACGACGGCGGGAGAGGCCGTGGCGCCTTTCCCACCCGTGCGAAAGCGTCCCGGCGGGGTCGCCGACCCTGCAGGTGGAGCGAGGGAAGGATCAGCGATCTTCCTCGCCCGAGTCGGCCTCGTCGGTGGTGTAAGCGTGGTTGAGTCCCCGGATGTGGACGTACTGTACGGTCTTCTTGTTGTCCCGGGTGGTGGAGTCGCTCCACCAGGGGTGGGCAAACAGGTCCTCCACCTCCTCCAGGGACTTGCCCTTGCTCTCCGGCAGGAAGAGGAAGAAGAAGAGCCAGCCAAGGGCAGACACCCCCGCATACAGCCAGAAGGTCCCTGCAACGGCGGGCACCAATGGCGGTCGTTCTCAAAGAAGCCCGTGCCGGCCACAATTGTCAAGCATCTAAGCTGTATCGTTACTCGAAGCAAATAAGATTGTCAACAAAATGTTTGTATCGACAGCCTCGCGCTTATTGCACGAGTGGTGACTTTACTGCCCCTACAGTGCTTCCCACGCTCTCTAAATCTTTCCAAAAAACCAACTGATTTAGTGATTTTCAATGACACTCGGCAAGTTACTAATTTGGATCCATATGTTTATTTCCACTAACAAGAAAGTCTACGAACAAATTTTAGTCAATTATTGAGATCATCCCGACGAGTAGCCCCCTTATTATGTCCCCTTGGCCATCTAGCTCACCTACATAGACCGCATCACTGTAGCTTGCACAAGTTTTTTTTTAAAACAAGTCTGTAAAACCTAGGAAAAAAACACCCTGTACAGTTCAATGAGAAATTAATGGCCTCGATACCACCGCACCAAAAGTTATTCGCACAACACAAAGACGGACGCAACAGCGTCCGGTAACGGTAGGACCAATCGCGACTCCGCACTCTACGGCGCGTGCCTCCGTACGGTGCCTTAAACGCGTCTCCGGCTAGTGTCTAGAATCCCACACCGCACGTGCATCAAAACGGGTCCCAACGTAGCGACAAACAACGTCACGAAAGCCGTTGGGACGTGCCGTCGAATGTCGCCATTTCTGGCTGCCAAATCATCCGAGGCGTCTGCTACACCCACCACCGGTGCTGTGACAACGCCGGGATCGCGGCAGACGACGACACGACACTTCCACGACGTCGTTCGGCGGAAATCGAGGGACCGCAAATGAAAATGCGGTATAAACACATCGGTCGGAGGCACGTTCCGGGCACCATGGTCTCGGACTCACCGTATTTGGTGATTGCGTCGGTGAGGGTGAGGAAGCTCATGGACACGAGGAGGTTGAAGGCCCAGTTGATGGAGGTGGCCAGGGAGAAGCAGGTGGAACGCGCCCACAGAGGGTAGATCTCCGAGTTGATGGTCCACGGCATGGCACCCAGGCCTGAGGGGCGATCAGTCCAGAAGAATCACCGCCGCGTATTCATGGACACTTGACGGGCTAAGATTTTGGGATTACTGGGTGATCGCGGAGCACCGAAAGACTCGCTGTGGCTCGGCGTCAGCATCAAGACTGGGAAGTGGCTGCGTTCTGCTACTACAGTGGAGTCGCGATAATTAAAACTAGGATACTTCGTACTTCCGGCAAACAAATTAAAAACATTTGGTTGTCTATGTTTTCAATGCATTTAATAGCGGCTTCATTCAAATAGCATTTTCGCTTAATTCATTCTATTTGTTCATCGCAGCGCGTCCGCCCTTTTGAGTGCGCTTCTCACCGAGCACTGTGTACTCTGGGAAAGCAATGCGGAGAGCGAGTCGTCTGCTTCTGTGCAGGAGTTGCGGTGAGAACGACGCCGAGCTCCGATTAGCTTTGATTGAAAGGATAGTGGGTAGACCTGAATGCTAGATGCCTTGAGGTCTACCCACTATTTTTCTTTTCTATCAGCCAATGAGAGCTCAGCATTCTGACATCATTGCAACCCCTGTGCAAGAAGCAGACGGACTTGCGCTCCGCATACCCACAAAGCTAGCGGACATCGCTTCCGCAGTATGCGGGTGCTCGGTAATAAGCGCACTCGATGGGACTGACTCATCGCAATAATGCGAGCAGAACTCGCCTGGCAATCTGCATTCATTGTTCGAGCTTGTTTTTTCTTTTTCTAAGAGGGTTCAGTTTGAGATTAAAGAAAGAGTATTTGCATGTAGCAAGCACACTCATAAATCCCCTCGATTAGGATAGCTGGATGTTTCTTTAGGTTTAATTTTATGTCAAATCTGTCATTTACATGCCGCACCAATGTAGGCATTGGACCTTCGGAGGCCACGGTTCACAGATATACGTAGCTATGTTAAAACTAACTGAGCTCAGAAGTATCAAGTGTAAGGTTGAGAACAACCTTCACAAGTTCAACTGAATTTTTGTTTAAGCACGGTACAATGGTAGTAAAAGGCTTGGAGAAACTATTCGACATTCAATTAAAAAATATTCGGCTAAAAACCATTATTTGCTCCACCAACGTTTTATGTGTATGCCTGCTTATATATAGGCCTTGTAGAGGAAGAGTAAAAAATCTGCTTGGTATGTCTAGCTATTCCTATATCAAATTGCTACTTTGCCTCACATCATATTTAGATGAATTTATGATAATTCAAACTTTTGATACTTCAAACTAGAGTCTGTGGCCTCCTAGAGTTTGAATTAATGAGAGTCGACTGTAGACCCTCGCAAAGACTAGGGAGTCTGGTGTGGTGTGCCACCTCTCGGCATCAACACTAGGAAATGGCAGCATTCTGCCAGAGTCCCTAGAAACCTAGCGACGCCCATTGAACCCGTCCTAATGCCCGGCAATGCCGACTCAACTCGTCGTAATGACAAACTGTGGCCGACATACTGGCCCGGTAAGGACAGCTCAACTCCTTACACCACAAACCCATGGCCGACAGTCCAGCAATGCCAGTTACACCTACTGCAATGCTGACCTGTTGCCAACATACTAACCCAGCGACGCCAGCCGAACTCGTCGTAATGCCAATCCATGGCCGACGTACTGGTCTGGCGGCGCCGGCTCGACCCGTCATTAACCCCCCGACTAGCGGCCGACGTACCGGGGGAGAAGGAGAGCAGGTAGAGCAGGAGTCCAAGGATGGTCATCCACCAGTATGGGCTCGGGCACCAGTCGAACGCCCAGACGTAGCCCGGCGTTGCCACGGTCCCCGTGCCGTTCCCGGCCCGGCACTCGCCCACCGAGGAAACGTCCAGGCTGCTGGGGCTGCTCGGAAGGCAGGTGCCGTTTGCGGAGCTCCCCGCACTCCCCGGGTAGCAGAAGCCGCAGCTGGGATTGGTCGTGCAGGAAGCGCAGGTGCTGGGGGGACGAGCGGCCGGCGGTCAAGCACCCGTCGTTCCCTCTTCACGCCCGTCGCACACTGTTGGTGCTGCTCGACGTGGTATAAAACGCAAATCCGCCTGATTCCGGGAATTTCGAGGTGTTCGGCGATTTCATGCCAAGAAGTAGGCTGTTGGCGATGAGACGTTTCAATAGCTACCTCTTACGGTTCCTATCTAACGTCACAACGTCATGTTTTGCAGTGTTTGCGACATCAAATGTGCGTCCTACCCATGTGATGTGAAACAGCCATTCGTGACATTGTCGAAAGGTTTTCGAGCCAATAGTAAAATAATTATGCCCCCCCCCCCCCCCCAAAAAAAAAAAAAATTAAATATATTAAAATTGCAAATGTTCCACGGCCGTGTTCTTTCGTTGAAAGAGATTGGGAGAGGGGGAGGGGAAAAAGGGGCGACTGCTTCCCCCCCCACCTCAAGCCTGTCCAATACATCTGCACCGAACACGTTGTTAAGCGTTGGAATTCGAAAGACGCCAACAGATAAGACGACGCAGAGGAAACAATGCATGTCATGCCGTCTTCCATGCTGTCGTCCTTCCAACTGCATGAGGTAAACGCTCGCCTGTAGTTTGCGCAGACACCAGTGAGCAGCCCTTCTCCAGCTGGAAGGGCGGTCGCCGAATGCAGCTCCGCCATCTGGAACCCGACAGCCAGCACGCACAGGCTCGCTATGACCCCTGCGGCCGGACGAAAAAAGACGACGACAATGAAACAAGTGAACACAAGCACCTTACGAGCACGTTGGTATGCAGACGACAAAAGCTCTAACTTTTTTTTCTAACCATGAGTGGCGCGCGCACCACACATGGTGCGCGCGCCACTCACGCCAGAAGAGGGAATTAATGCATAAACCGAGGGACGACACAAACACATTTTTCAACAAACAAATGCATTATACTAGGAAGTTTTAGAGAACTGTACATATTTTTAGTGCACGTTAGCGTTAAATCTAGCGCTTACGTTAGCGCACGCCAAGCAAGAGAGTTTTAGAACAGCGTTCCGTTGCCGCGACGCAAAACCCAAGCATCTCATGCTTGAAACGCCGCCAAGGTACAGAAACAATTTTTATTTCACACACAAAATGCTGTAACTTGACAAAAAAAAAATTTTTTTTTTTTTCTTTAAGGTATTAAGTACTATAGATTTGTTTAAATATGAGAATACAATGCCAGTGGTCGACCGGTCGTGTCTGCTGGCGTTGCCTCGGCAAGAGGTCTCGTATACTGATCTTCGCACACCCTATGTTTGCCGCAGCAAGTTGCCGGCAATCGTTGCCCATGTTGCTGGGTCTTCCAAACCGTTTGCAAAGTGCACCTCCCATAGGAGTGCTGTGTCGTCCTGTACTGAAAATTGCAGCCACAAGGACGCCACCGACCTCACACTCACGACGGCAGTCAGGGCTCATTCACACTGGAAGCGGATCTGCGTTCGCAAAGCGGTTGCGAACGCGGTTGTATAAGGATTCAGTACAATCGCACGTGCACACGATGACATCAAATGCGCGTGCAATTGCACTGGATCTTTATACAACCGCTTTCGCAACCGCTTCGCGAACGCGGATCCGCTTCCAGTGTGAATGGGGGGTCAGAGCCACAGTCCTGGGAGCCGCCATTTTCTAACTGCACTCAGCTTCGATTCAGCTTACCTATCGCGCATTATGAATCCTCCTGGGAGGAAGACAGAGACTCTCTCCATATGTGCGCAATTTCCAAAAAATAGCGTACGCTAAAACGGCGCCCGCTAAGTGCCAAACGCAGTTAGCGTTTGGCCCACGCGGAGTGGTGACGACGCTATTCTTTGCGTATGCAGAGCTTTTTCATGGGCTATTGTAAAACTCCTCGCGGAAGTATCGTATGCTTGTTTTGCTAAAAGATGTGCCACTGTCATACCTTGTTTGGTATGTTTATTCCCTCTTTTGCCAGACTCAGTAATGCTAATTCCATAGAGAATAATTCAAAGTTATCTACTTCTCCCTGCAGCATACTTCTAGGCAGGTATGCTTTAACACACAACAAGTGGGTAACACACTAATAGCCGACACATACACTGAACAGGAAGGCTTTTTTTTAACCAGCTGTGACCTTCAGGCCCAAACGGGCGGGGTCTGATTCTCATTAATCGGGTTCTCAGTGAAAGCTAGAGCTCATGCAAAGACCGGAGCATTTAAGAAGAAAGTTGAGAGCGCACCTGCCAAGCTGACAAGGACAAGCACGCGGCGTCCGACCCTCTCCACCAAACCCAAGCCGATGAAGGAGCTGGCAAAGTTGACGAAGGACGTCGCTGCGGCCAACCAGATGGCTTTCGATGGGTCGTGCACCCCTGACATTTGGATGATCGTAGCGCCATAATACCTGCAACCGGAAAAAACAACAAGAGGCCGTTTACTGGATTTTCTGGACTATAGTCCACACCCGGTGTATAGTGAGATGTGACGTAGAGCAATACAGAAATTATCATTAACATTCTCTGTCACTCACGAAATCCACCACGTCTCGTTATAACGAACGAGCTGTAACAAAACAAATCCTCATATAGTCCACGCCATAGAAAATTTTAACATCTAAACCTGCATAGTCTGTAGGCTGTAATCCGAAAAATAAGGTAAGTATTACACAAACTGGCTTGTAAGGTGAGAAAATTAATTCGAAATTCCCAGAAAATAAATGCCATAGGTTACAGCCTGAAATGATTCAATGGGACTCCACTGTTGAGCCTGTCCAAGCATCCGGATGGCCTAACTTTAATGGAGCTTCGAAGCAGACGGACAGCACTACTTTTCGAGCTTAAAACATGAAACTCTATTCACGAGGGACAAGTCAACAATCCATGACACACTTAAAACTGGCGTTACTGCTACTGAAAAAATTAAAAAAGAACATGGAATGCAGCAGACGCCACACCTTATGCAGTATGACAACGAGCGGGGTCCTTCACTATACCGAGCTACTTGGCCCGGCAGACGGACATCATGTTAAAGTGACCCGTCCCGTGCTATTGGCGTAACTGTGAACAGAGGGAGGACTTACAAGGCAATGATGCCAACTCACATGACAGTATTAATGCCTGCAATCTGCTGAAACATCATGAGAGCACAGCCAACCAGCAGCGCCATGCGAAGAGGTCCCGTCTTCAGCACCTGCATCAGCGCTGATGACGCAGCTGCAACACAGATGTCGACTCAGAGAACCACAGCACTAGCCAGCGGCCTTCGACACATGCACGTCTATCCGTGCGAGCACGGGCATGGTAAGAATCACTGAATGTCTTCAAAGTATCACATAGAAACTCAAAATGGCACTCAACCGCTTGCAACCGCCTAAACTTTGTTTGCTGTAGCCTAGGCTTCGTTTGTTGTTAGTAAAGGCCCGCATTCACAGATGGATGTGCCACCATTTTTTTGCACGAATGTGTGTCTACGCGGACGTATATGACATTGTTCAACCGCTTCCAGCCACATTAACACAATTCTAGAGCACCCGTCTTGCAGCCAACGTTTGATGGCCTTTGTTATGAGTCCTTTTCAAAAGTAACTACAAATTTTCACAACATTTCGGGTGTCAGAAAACATCTTAAAGTGGCAGGAAGTGACTGAACTAGTAAAACACATCCATCCACGAAAAAATGTGTTCACCCAAAAAACACAAGGGCACATGAGAGTGTGTCTATGTGTGTTCAAATAGGCCCAAAGATAGTGGGATGAAGCCAATGAAATCTGAAGCAAGGCCCACATTTGATTGGACAAATCATTGTGTGATCAAGTTCACCATGAGTACACGAGTTGTAATGGTGGTACCGCACGCGACAGCGAGAGGGTGCAGAAATGCATGCGTAACATCAGATCTTTTTAGTATTCTCAGCAGAAGTTTTGCAGAATTGGGTTCAGTGGTTTACGCCAGTTTTCGTGCGCCATAATTTCCGAAGCGATGTTCGTCTGCAAATTTTGGAACAAAATTGGTCCGAAACTGACATCTCTGAAATGGAAAAAAAATGTTCGTGCAAATCACTATAACTATTATAGTCTCAAAAGATTATCCGAAATGTATGTTTGCTGTAGAGTCACGCATTTGCTGAGAAAAACGAAAAGTCATATCAAAACCACAAGATGAGCACAGGACAGTACCATTAGAGAGTAGGGCTTTTTCGGGGGGAAAACTAGGTACATGTGCTTAAAGTAGTATACTTAAATTGACACCATTTTAGACTCTACAATGTCTTTTCATGGTAGCTGAGCAATCATAAAATTATTTTCAATAAAAAAAAAAAATCTTTCTAAAACATTACTTTTTGGAGAAGTTTCGAACTGCTCATAGCGCATCTTGTTTAAACCGTCTGGTGTCGTTCTTTGTGAATTTATGCTATTTTGATGTTGTACACTCACCTGTTAGAATCTCCTGACAAGATTGGCAACACCAGTAAATAAATATAAAAATAAATTTTAAAAATGAATAAACAGTCGGTCCTGCAAACAGTCCACAGGACCCCTGAACCAGTGCGGAGAGCAAGTCGTCTGCTTCTTGCGCAGGAGTTGCGGCGACATCAAAACGACGCTGAGCTCTGAATGGCTTCAATTGAAAGGGTAGACCTCAATGCTAGATGCCTTGAGGTCTACCCACTATTTTTTATTTTTTTTCAATCAGCCAATAAAAGAGCATGGCATCCTGACATTGTTGCAACCCCCGTGCAAGAAGCAGATGAACTTGCGCTCTGCACACTACCTACAAGACGAAGCTTGCACCCCTCCCCCCCCCCCCCCCCCCCCTTACGTCATCGCTAGTGGATTCAAGCAGCGCCACCTAGCTCGCGTTAGCAACACCGCCGGCACGTCTAGCGGCGTTTCACGAGCGGGACGCTGGAGCGCGCCGGCGCTAGGACGAACGCATCTGCTGCTTTACGCCATCTCTCGACGAGCTACGGCATATCTGCCGCTCAAGGCGGGTCGGAGATCCACTAATGACGATGTTGTGCGCGGGCCTTCTCTTTCGGGTGGTATTGCCCCGACACTCACGCTGTCCGTCCACAGGCTCTACGTCAATGCAGCCGTTCTTCATGGCCTCGAACTCGGGCTCGATGTTGGCGTGGGGTCCCCGGAACCTGCGCAGCACCTCGACAGCTTCCTGGTAAGCGCCCTTACTAGCAAGCCATCTCGGGGACTCCGGCATCGCCAAGAAGCCCAACAGCTGGATGAGCGACGGCACGCCTGCCAGGGCCAGCATGTACCTGCAGCACAGCCGTGACGGTACATTGGGCACTCAGACGGCGAATGCGTCCGTTACGTTTGTACCTAGAGCGAGCTCTCTACTTGCCACATCCACACTCTTCTGCCCTAAAAGACGAGACGAGAAGCAAGTTGTTACTTGGGCAAACCCGCTGCTCGGAAGTCTCAGGTGCCAGAAAACCTCAAGGACTTGTGTTGTCGTCGTCATTATCCTTGCTCTGTCCATCTCTTAGCACTTTTAGTACCTGGTGAACCAACTAGCCCCGTTCACTATTTTTATTTGAAACTCAAGGACTATACTCCGTTTCACTCTAAGTAGACCGCAGCCGACCAGTGGCTGTCCTAAGGAGGGGGGGAGCAAAGAAGGCATGCCCCCTCCCCCCCCAGACCTCTTAGCTCTTTTTTTCCCCCGTTTTCTTTTTTTTAATTTGTTTCAAAAATACGGGAGCACTTTTGTTCACTGGAAGTGGCCAGTTGATTTCAACAATGTACACCAGCCACACCTCATGGATTATTTCAAAGTTCTGTCATTACAAGAGAATGTTAGCCATCTCTTTTAGGTTTTTTGGTTAGGTGACACGGCAGCGACAGCAAGCATAATTTACTGGACACTGTTCACTACGACTTGCTCTAATGGTCGCCTCGCCCATTCCTCCCAAAACCAATTTCTGGAACCGCTGTCAAAAGTGTGTCGTCACGGCGCTCGTCGTCTTTCTGCGTCTGCTATCACCGGCTACACCAACCGCGCACGGAAAGAAAGCAGGGTTGCGGGGCTTTTACTGTGCGTGATTGGTTGTGCAGGATATGGCAGACGCACAAGGAAGACGAGCGCCCCGATGACGCACTTTTGGTGCCACTTGACTGGCTCCAACACTGGCGTCAGCTGTGGATGGACTTGGCACAAAACTGAATTTAGTGAGTACGCGGAGATGCAATAGATAGTTTAGTGCCTTTCAGTTCTATCTTCTATAAAGTTTAAGACAAATGCTCCAAAACAAAGAAAAACAAACTGTAAAAAGGCATAGGAGTGGCAGAATTACCATTCTACACTCTTTTTAAACAGTCTGGTTGGGACATGTGTGTCAATAAATAAATTTTACGCAAAAAAAATAATTTTTTAGTGGAATATTGACGGCGAGAGATATATCTGAAATTCTGTGCGCGAAGTCCATGACGTCACTAGTCGTATGGATTGACCATCTCGGTCGTGAAGGCGAAGACGATCCACCTCTCCTCCACGCGCCCGAAATGCCAAAAAAAAAAAAAAAAACAAGTGGAAAAAAGGTGACTGCCAACTAAATCGCATCTTGTGCCGTCAATATTTCTCTAAAAATTTTTTTTTTCACATAAAATTAATTTTCTGACACGCGTGTCCCAACCAGACTTTTAAAAAAAAAAACTTTTTTTTTTCCTTTCAGGGGTTCTTTAAAGAAGCCGTGAAACAACAGTGGACTTAACTGTTGTACACCTTACACAACTGTGCTGACACAAGTGTGTCAGCGCTTGTGTCAGGTGGTACACCTGTGACACAAGTATGTCACAGGTGTACCACAAGTACACTTGCACGCAATCCGCCTACCAAGAGGCCTGTTTGTCGCGGTGTAATCTCAAGGATAAAATCGGACTATTTCTTCCGGTCTCTGTTTCGTAGGGCTTGCCGATGCAGTCGTGGGGATTACGATGTTGACATGGTCGTAGGGCACAGCGAGCATACGACGCACCTATCAAAAGATAGCGCCGCAGGTTACAGCCATCGCCAACTCGGTCGCCTGCAAATGCGTCCACTGTTCACCCTGGGGCCCAATTTCCGTCACCGCCAGAGTGAAATCTAAGTTGTTTCTCGCAGAACGAGCGAAGAATGCAGTTTGTCTGGTACGAAGCATCATTTGCAGACAAAAATAAACCAAGAAAACGCCATATGTTGTCTGCTAACAGATCGGAAAAAAAGTTTATCGTCTGCTACGACCCGAGAGCCGTGGCGAAGTGAGATCGGACACAAGCTAAAATTGTGACTGTCTGCTATTTTGCGTTGGAAGCCACTGACAACTCACGCTTTATTTACGATCCTCAAGTTGTTCTGCTGCTATACACAAGCTCAAATTGACCAGTGAGGGAAGGAGTACTAAGGACAAGCACATCAGAGGCCACAGGACCTCTCTCGCCATTTGTGTGTTGGTGAGACGTTCTCGCCAAATGTTTTGTCCGATTGTGAACTCGCGAACGGGTCAAGAGTTGTTTATTGGTTGATTATGCGCAAGCTGAGGGGCCACATCAGCAGCTGAGAACGCTCTTGCTCTCAACTTGAACAAAATCGGACCTCTGACAAGTTTGTCTCATTTCTCACAGGAATGGAAGCTATGCTTTGAAATTTAACCACATAAAATGCACCGCCTAAATGCACATTTGGCGAAAGTTTGGCCTTTCTACGTGCAGGCAGCCATTTTTCCATCTCTTTTTACAGCGCTAGGACCTATCGTGGCCGACGTATACGTAAAATGCATTATTGTAAAAGGACTTAAGTTTTGCAAAATTTGCAACCTGAAAAATATCACGAAAAATTTATCTCACAAGTGTATATACACCTCATGGTAATAGAATGGATATATATAGCATAACAGTCCAAATCACAAAATTTTGCGCACCCAAAACATCTCTAACCTATGCACCCCCCCCCCCTCAAACTTGCCAAAATATTGAGTCTGCCAAAATAAAGTTGTTTAGAGTATATTATACAGCACAACCCTCCCCCCCCCCCACCCCACCCCACCCCACCCCACCCCACCCCACCCCACCCCACCCCACCCCACCCCACCCCACCCCCCCCCCCCAAAAAAAAAGATTAGTGTTTTTTTCACCGCAAAAATAAACCGCATTGCACAACGCTCATTCTTCACCCAAATGTAGCGTTGGGGTTCGAACCAGGTGCCGACGTTTCGGCACAAACCGTTATCTTATTTAAAAGTTATGCGATTTTTTGAAAATTTTAATGGAAAAATGGGGTTTATTTTTCCCGTTTTTGGCAACTGGCATTATAAAGCTCCATGCATTAGAGAGCTCTGTCGGCCACCATTTTCTCCCACTGAAAATTTCAAAAAAACACTTATAACTTTTGAGTACAATAATGGTTAGTGCTAAAACTTTAACAACTAATTTGGGCCGTGAGCGCTACCTTTGGGCGGAGAATGAGTGTTTGGCAAAGCATAGTTTATTTTTGTGGTAAAAAGAAACCCTGCAAATTTTGTTTTGGGACACCTATATAATATATTTATTATATATTAATCTGTTATTATATTTTACTATATATAAAACATGCCATTCAGATTACATTTAAAGTAAATATCCTGAGAGATGACTTACCCTCTATTTTTGGCATATGGTTTGCTATTTTTTCAATAACACCGAAGCATATGCCCACTTCCTGTAATTACAGTGTGTGATAACAAGTTTGCCAGATCACATAATGTGAAAATTGCATCTTTATCTTTCCTCGATCACACAACAAAAGTTAGCCCACTCTCGACGTTTCCCCGATTTGCTCTCGACTTTGGGTGGGCTATCTCTCGGGACATTATAGGGCACACATAGAAACGGCTCCAGGTTTCGACAGCCGTTCTCACCTCCACCCGTTGACGGAGTCGGTGCTGAAGAGTCCGTCAACGACGCTGGCCACAAACTGTCCGCCTGTGATGAACACCTGGTTGATGGACACCAGGAAGCCTCGCATGTCGGCCGGCGCCACCTCCGCTATGTACACCGGCACCGTCATCGACGCCAGCCCTGCAAAGGAAACCCCCCAGAGGGCACTTGTCAGCACCGCCGCTCCTCCCAAGGCCCAGCAGCATTCTTTTAAACTGCCATCACCGAGCAAATAATCTAAGTCTCTTTCCACAGCATAGAATTTGCACCATCAAATATGTTTATCTAGGCAACAACAAATAAAAGTGACCACCAGCAAGGGGTCATGAGTCACTTGCAAGCCACGTAGATGTTGTGCCACATTACAGATCATTGGTTGTTTATTAGCATAGAAGTAAAGAAGTGATAATGACGATGATGATTGGCATTCTAAAATCTCCATAAAAAGTAGGGGTGTGCAAATACCAGTTCGAATCGCACAGCACTGCATCGTTCATTACCTACACAGTGAGAGGGAAAGCCACGGCAACCAGTTTTCTTGGCAGTGGTAAAGTTAGGGATGACGCTGCACTATTCTATTTGAACCGATATTTGCACGACTCTAATCAAAAGATGCAACAGAAAGGTTGCCACGGTACAGGCTGACAGTTATGACTCGGAGTGCTAGAGAGAGGGGGAAAAAAATAGGGGGGAAATTTAGTAAAACTAAAAATTTTAAAGGATAGAAATTGGGAAGTCTACTATGCAGACATAAAATAAATCAAATACAAAAATTTGAAAGGATAGAAATTAAGAAGTGTTACTATGTAAAAAATAAAATAAATAAAATACAAAAATTTTGAATAATAGAAATTGAGAAGTATAGTATGCAGAAAACAAATAAATCAAAGTAAGAATAACTGTCCCAATCCGGCAAGCCACAAAACCTCATGTCTCATGTAGAAATGCAATTTTTCAAGTCCCTATAGCCCCGCAACGGCAGCGAAATGATGATTCCACATTGCTTTGTTAGGCTGCATAATGTCCGTCATCTTAACACACACTACAGCGCACTACTGCAAAAACAACACTCACTCCTTACACACGAAAAATAGGGCGAAATTCAAACAAACCGTGCTGACTGACAACTCGTTTTTATGTGTCTTCTTCTACCTCTTGCACTACCGAATTTCCCGAATCACGTGCACCGATCTCCAAAACGCCTATAATTTTTTTTCTCTTTTTCTGTCAGGTTTAAAGATGGTGTACTGATACAGTTTTCATAATTCCTGGCAATATGTTCGGCTTCAATAATTTCTCTAGTTAATTGGTGACTGTTCCTACCTAAAATTGTACAAGATGGCAGGTGAACCTCGCACCCAAAATCACGGCAGTGTATGCCCAGATGGCCAGAGTTAGCTCTGGTACTGTTGTTTTTGTGTTCACGGAGCCTATCATTAAGGCATCGTTCAATCTGCCCTATGTGCATTTTCCCGCACGAAAGGGGAAATGAATACACCACCTCCTCTGCGCACTTGACGAAGTTGTTCTGATGTTTTTTGGTACAGCTTACTGTTCCGTGGGAATATGGTGAGTTGACTTGTTTGCACAGGTTGGCAAGCTTATTAGGAGCAGGAAAGACGACGTTGATGTTGAACTTGTTATCGATTTTCTTGATACCATGAGAGAACCTGTGAAAGTGGAAGAACGACTGGTCTCGTGGTTCTATCTCTGGCTCTTGGTGTGACAGATGTTCCTTTATTTTTTTTTGTTTTCAGGATGCTCTCTGCAAATGAGCAACCAACTTGAAGAAGCTGCTACGTCCGTCATCTGTTTACGGGAATACAAAATTCAGTGTTTTCGCGCGTGCAAGCAACTATTTGTTCTGTCAAGCTCTCAGCAATAACTATGGACTGTTCATCATAGCTTATCAGTCTCTTCCTTTTGGCAACCTAATTGGCATATCTAGGTTACGTCTTGTCTCGATTCACAAACAGATTGGCACGTGTACATTGATATTTCCTGTTGCGCATGACGAACCTATCCACTGCCTAAAAGTACAAGCAGAGGTTCCAAGGAGTTGGAAATTCTCCAACTTCATCATGTGTGCTGCTATCAGGTGCCATCTGTCCCACAAGATAACAGAACATACCATCACCCAAGGACTGCAAGCCCCTTCCACATCAGCGTTTGCTTACAACCGAGTTCTTGTGACCCGTTACCATGAGAGAACGGATGGATGGATGGATGAATCCGGCTGAGCCCTTTGGATCGGGCGGTAGCTTACACCACCTAGCCATTTTGTTTTACCATTTAAGCTTAGAAGATTTAAATGTGAAATCTATATTCACTCCGCACTGCAAAAGAAAGTGAGGCTATAAAAACCCCCTTGCCATCAGTTAATAAGAAAATACCTAGAACGCACCGGCACGCTAGTGCCATCTACCAGGTGACCCCAGAACTCCACTTCACTAGAGCAAACATTTTGCAGTACTTGCGAGAGCAAGTGTACATACTAACAATGAGAAATGGCTGACTATAACAATATCGAAAGTTTTTCAGGCAAATTTCCCCCTGAAAAGATTATGACAATAAACTTATCTTAGAAACCAATTAACCACCCGAAAGCCCAGATCTGCCCGTACATTTTTCCCTTCACTCTCGTTTTCTATTTTACAATTCGCTCGTTATGCCATATGTAGTTCCATAAATGACCGCTGCAAGGTCGTGTCACCACAAACACACCATATAACTACCATGTGCCCCCGAATCCGGGTGAACCCTTTAAGGTGACCGCGTGAATCGGCTTAATAAAGTATCGTACAACGATTTACCCAAGACGTGCCTGAGGGAGGTGGAAACATTGCATCAAAATTTCAAAGAATGAACTTACTCGAGTAAAGAGTAAAGGAAACGAGAACTGGTTTTCTCTACCTATGACACTCGTCTGCTAGCCGTGCAGCCTGACTCGCGCAACACCCGACAGATGGCAGCAGCGTTGCCCCGGCGGCAGCTCAGCAGCCACCCGGTCGCGCCAAAAGCAGACCTTTTTGAATCATAACTGGTGTATGTTTTTTTAAGTGCTGTAATGGTCAGTGCATGACTTCTTTTTCATTCCCTTAAAGGGCCACACGGTGCGAGGCGCGCTTTAGTCAGTAGTCCCATCTTTCCCCTTGTTTTCTCTCTCTGCATTTCGGGTGCTTGGAGGAGAGGTGGATCGGCTTGGCCACCACATTGAGGTGGAGAGAGTGTATGACCATCTTGTTGAGGTGGAAAGAGAACATGACCATTCCGTGACATCATAAACTTCGCACACAGAATTTTAAATAAATCTTGCGCCATCATTATTGCTCTAAAAAAAATAATTTTTGTGCAAAATTTATTTTTTGACACACATGTCCCAACCAGACTATTGAAAAAAAAACATTTTTTTTTCTTTTCAGTGGCCCTTTAAAGGTTGTCGTACAACCTCAGTTTTCTGCAGGGAAGGTAATCAATCTCCTTGGTGCTTTCCTTTCCTAAGCTGCGAGGGAAGCCAAGTTGGGACAAGGTAAAAAGTGGAGAGGATATAGGAAAGGAGGAGGCGGGCAAAAGTGGAAAGAGTAAAGTGTGCATCGGCCTTTAAACGGACACAAAACAAAAAAAACAATGGTTCATCGCAGGCACGTAGCGAGGGGGGGGGAGGGGGCCTATGGGGCCCGGGCCCCCCCAAAATTTTCTATTTTGCTGGGACCTCCTCTCCCCCGCCTCATACAGCATTTTGTCATGGGTGGGCCTCCCCCCCCTCCCCCCCGAAACAAAATCCTGGCTACGTGCCTGGTCATCAAGTAATTTCATCTAGATGTCGTCTACTTTTGGCGCGACCGGGCGGCTACTGCTGTAAGTCGCCGTAGGGAAGACCCCAACGAAAGTTTACAGCAGGTTGTTCTTAAGTATTTTCATAAAGTGTCACAATATCAAAGCGTTAGCCAACAAGTTCAATGTCTACACAGCCTTTAGCACGGATTATAGAGTGAACCGTTTGACCCCCTTTGCGTCAACTATTTCAGGTTGTGCGAAAAAATTAAAGATGTTTACAACTCCCTGTAATGCTGAATTAGAGCGCAGCTCTAGAGGAGGGGAGGAGGTTACAGAGGGTACAGGGTATGCACCTCCTCCCCCTGCTCCCATTTAGCGGGAAATTTTCACTACATTTCCTGCTAAACTCAGCGGAAAAAATTCCCCGCTAAATTTAGCGGGGAAATTATTCCACTAAATTTAAAGGGGAAATTTTTGCGCTAAACTTAGCGGGAAAATTTTTTCTCTAAATTTAGTGGGGAAATTATCCCGCTAAATTTAGCAGAAACTTTTTCCACTGAATATAGCGGTGAATTTTTTCTGCTAAATTTAGCAGTGAAATTTTTTTGCTAAATTTAGCAGGAAATTTTTCCGCTAAATTTAGCGTGAAAATTTTCCGCTAAATTTAGCAGGGAAATTTTTTTGCTAAACCTAGAGGAAAACTTTTTACGCTATTTTTGAGGAAGACATACCCTCTCCTCCTCCTCCTTGTAACATCACATGTGACGTCATTATGGGAAACGTCCCATAATGCAACGTGCGGTTACGCCGACGGCGTAACCGCAGGTTGCATTGCTCAAGACGGAAACGGGTGCCTAAGAGCTGCGCTCCAAAAGATGTGGATTGTGAGTCAGGTGTCATTTACAAGATACCCTTTTTGTGTGCCCTCTGTTATATCAGAAAAACTAAGCGTTGTGTAAATAAATGGTTGATGGGACGTAAGCGCTGTATAAACCATAGAGTTATTATAATGTACGCTAGAGGTTCAACTGGTGCTAGTGTCCATGCAACTTCCATGATGCAAATTGAAGCAGACAGCAACCAGTCTACTTTTGCGGTGCTCCTGTGCATTCCTATGGGAAAATGCGCGTGCATTTTGTCTCTTCACCGGAAAATAACACGGAACGCTTTGGTTATTTGGGTCATACCGAATAGCATGTACCTTGGTTAACATTGTAAAAGTAATTGCTCTGGTTAGCGCATTTTTCTTCATCAGTGAACGATGCTTAGCTTCGCTACATTTCAGTCCCAGACATGTGTTCCACAGCAGGTGTGTAAAAACAAGCGACGATTCAAAGCAAAATAACAATCGAAAGGAATATAGAGTGTTTCAAGGCTCGCCAGCATTCCGGTGACTCTTGCATATAGATAATATGCCAGTCCTGTCACTATATGAAAATGACCCTGTCGTGCATGGATTGAGCGGATAAAAACATTCAAATAAAGAATAAAGTATGTGGGCTATGAAAGGTGTCTTTTCGTTTGTTTTCTCTGCCGGGCAGCTTTTACCGGGCACTTGTTCTCAAGATTTCGAGCCCGCGGGTGATGTTTTCAACGCAGAACAAACATCTTCGAACCTCTTCACGAGCAGAAAAAATAAAGCGTTACTTACTTATTTAAAATTGAAATATATTACGTGGCCTACAATTCATTTTGATCGTACATGCACGGGTAGTTACCGATCCAGTGTTACTGCATAGTTCTTGCCGTCTCCCTTAATTTTCAGATATCCTTCGTTCGTTTGGCATGTATATCCCTCATGCTGAAAAGCGCCAATGTCGTGTTCGCGCTAACAGTGTCCTACAGTGCACATAAATACACGTACGGAGCCGTTAAAGCACCATTTTTAATGCGATGAATTTGAAAGAGAAATGCCGTAACTGACCAATTATTTCATCGGCCTAACTGAGAAATGTTACAAGCTACCTAGTACGTACAAATTATTCGGGATATTTGCTCTTATGATCAAGCACAGGAAGAAAATGCACTCACTCTTTCCCATAGAAATGCATTACCGGAAGTCAATTTTGGACTGGTTGCTGTCTGCTTCAATTTGCGTCACCTCTAGCGTCCATTATAATAACTCAATGGCATAAACATCTGGTCGAACGTAACAATTGTATACCGTTGTGGAATTTGACATCAGTGGAAGAACAAGAAAAAGATTACCAATATGATAAAAGAATCACTCACAATACTATGGCACGGAAATGCTGTTAATAGGCTTTCGTTTGATTAGGACCACGAACCCCGGCGGTTTCTTAGGCTTTGAAAAGTGCTGTCCTCGAAGTGACTACAAGTTTCAAGGAAAAAAAGTTCTTTTGTTCGTTTTGGGTGAGGGTGGCAGGGTTTAAAGATCATCTTTCTGCATGATCATGATTGAAAGATCATGTGCACCCTATTTTCAACCATGAAGGGTTACTACATTAAACTCTTGCGTGCTATGATTAAAACTGTTTCTCACTACCACCACTAGGGGATTCTTTTCGGCTTCTGGTAGGCCAAGAGAGCATGTCAAGCCCTCTTTCTGCATTTGGTGCACGCACTGGCTCCGCCCGCGCCTCCCATTAATCAAACTCTCCCTATACACGGCTCTAACGCCCACTCGACCAAAGCAAATAATATCACGTGACGGCCGGAAATCTGGCGTCCAGTAACGAAGCCACGCAATTACCAAAATAGACATCCGATTCTGACGAGAGAAAGTGCAAGGGATATGGCTCTCCATACGTCATTGGAGAGGGCCTTGCGTGCCGCTAACATTTAGTATGCGCAAGCAATCGATTCCTCGACGGAGCCGCAACTTTGCTTTTTGAGACGAACCATCGAAAAGGATACCCCGAGCGACTCAGCGCCACTCCCGAGTTCTCCTGCAAGATCAATGCACGCGAGTCTGCGCCGGACAAGAAAAAGAAAGAAAAAAATTCCACGACGCAAGTCGCTTAATTCAATTTTGAAGCGTGCATCTAATGGCACATGGCAATAAGACAACAACTGCGTATCATCTGGGAGAAAGTAAACGACGTCTACAGCAGCAGCACATGCATGCAAAGGCTAACAAAGCAAAACCAAAAGAAAACGCAGCTGTGCGGGAATCTTGACTCATTTACTTATTTAGTCGCTGTTTATAAAGCATACATCGAGTTCGGGGAGAACATCAAAACGATAGAGCTGAAGATTTTTTTTTTTTTTCTTTTAGTTCCTTCTTGAACGATTTAGCAATGAAACAGAGCTGTCCACGGAGAAATGATAGCTATCAAAAAAGGAACAGTGACTGCAGAACAGTTTCCGTCGGCGCGGTGACAATCAACGACCAGCCCCAGCTGTGACTTGTAGCGAAAACGCGAACGCGCGTGACTTCTTTCCGCGCACCTTTCCACTGCTCCACGGACGAGATAAGCACCGTTCACAGCTACCCAAACAACAGAGGATTAAGCCAACTAATCCGGCGCTTATTTTTTTAATCGGCGCGCGTCTCAAAGCATAAAGAATTTGGGACGGGCTCTGGCAGGAGCCACCATGCATGGAAGCGCGAGGAACTTACCGATCCCAGCTCCTACGATGAGTCTGCCGCCGAGAAGCATTCCCTTGTTGAAGGCGACCCCCATGAGCACGGCTCCGATGGTGAAGACGAGGCTAGCCGCCAGGATGACGGGCTTGCGACCGAAGACGTCGGTGGCGACTCCTGCCACGATCGCGAACGCCCATGCCCCGGCGATGGTGATGGACACCACAAGCTCCTGCCACAGGTAGTTGAGCTGGAAGTGGCTCCGGAGCTGTATCATGGCCCCGGACACGACGCCCGTGTCGTAGCCGAACAGGAAACCTCCGACGGCCGACAGAGCGGTCGTGCACAGCAGCAAGCGCGTCAGGGGGGTCTTGGTCTTGGCTGCCCCGCCGTCCAACATGATACTCCGCCGCTCGTCGTCGTTTTGGAAGCCATTCATATCGTATTTCGTCTCTCGCGCCAGCTTGAATGGCTTCGGCCCCCCGCGGGCGGGCGATCCGTGTGTCGTTGAGTGATCGTACGGGAGGCTGTCACTAGCGGGTCGAACTTGACGGAGCGCGCGAGTGATGGACGGCGTACCTGGCGGCTTGTCGGCCCTCCCCGATCGAGTCGATGAAAATTTGAGTGTTGCTGACCGAAACCGCCAGGTGGCTGTCAAATTGATGTCGTCATTTTTATCGTCATTGAGACACGTGATTACGGGTGCGTTCGATTCGGTTGATTTATGCGAAGAGATGTAAAATTGTGACGTCAAAAAACGTTTTTACTCATTAAGATTTTAACTTGAGCCAAAAAAATTCATTTAAGTAATAAAAGGGGAAATAAACAAATAAAAGCATATTCGTATATTTAACACTATAATCACTATAATGTATCGACGGCTCTGCTAGCTCTATCCCATTTAGCTATGGTGTACTAGAAGACACCATAATTTAGCGCTCTCAGGGCGGCGCCATTTTCTTCAAACCGCAGCGCCCTCTCCACACATCCGGAAAGTTCAGCACGGGCCTGACTCCGCTAGCAGACGACAAACCGGGAGGTTGCCGTTCTCCATCTTTGGAAAGCCCATTATAACCTCCTTGATCTTTTGGGCTGTAACATCGAACTCTCGCTAGTGGCTGCCATTATGAAGTAATTCGCGTTCTCAGAATATTTATGGCTACTCCAAAATCAGCCTTTAGCGCTCTGTTGTTTTATTTCAGTAAATTTTGAGCTAGCGTACCTTTCCTGCGTCTATTGTTCCAGGAGAGCCCGTTTTTATTTATTATTCCAGACTTCCACTCATTGTCGCTAAAGGCCTACACCAGTACGAACTTCGTGTAGTAAAACAGCTACAGCAACCGGATTTACTTTTCGGCGGAGTGACCGGCCACTCTGACACAGCCTTTCAATTTTATTTTTATTCGCACCTACATCGCATATAGACTCGGTAAGTATTTTTATCGAGCATAGCATTACACGATAGCTTGCATGTCAAATAATCCGCGCACCTGCGCTTGAAATTTCCAAAACGATGCGATGTTAAACCGAGTTTGAACGCCAGCCGGATGACGACACACGGGGTGAGGGGGGGGGGGGGGGGGGGCATTTTTTTCTCTCTCCGCTCTACCTAGACTGAATTTTTAGACGCTGGTGGGTAAGTCTGGGTAGGTGAGGCCGTCCCTCGGTGACCGTGCAACGTACAGCCAGCTGATTTGCGCGCGCACGATGAGGTCCTCGTGCTGCTTATCATAAAACACGCGACGGCTTTCCACCACGTTGAGAAAAGGCTCCAGGCTAAAGGAGGGACCGGGCTCCGAAGTGGGCCGAGACTCCTCCAACATTTTTTGGCGCGTACTGTTGTGGCGTCTGCTCGCGCGGGATACCGCTTCCTTCAGTGCCCCTTTGTCCTCCCCGGTTTTCCCTTCCGGAAAATTACCTACGTCATGTCCTGTCGCCCGCTGATTGGCTTAAAGCGCGCGTCGAGGGAGGAAATCGGTCCCGGCGCGTTGTCGAAAAACGCATCCCTCGAACATGCACAATTCCAAAAATACAAAAAAAAAAAAAAAAAAAAGCGTCTTGAAACGTGCGTTCTGGCTTTGTGGGAATGGGCCTTTAGGGTTTTAATAGTTGAGGAGCGCGCAACATAGCAGTCAGGACTCAGGAGGATATTCCACGCTGCAAAGCCGAGGCTTATGACGGCAACAACCATGGGCGTACCAACCCGGGGGGGGGGGGGGGGGGCAAGGGGGGCGCTTGCCCCTCTCCCCCTCCAGTTCTCAAAGTGTGTGTCTGTAGGGGGGGATGCAAGGCATGTGTTTTTCCCCCCAGAAATAGCCGGCCACTGGGCAGGGCAAACACTGGCCGGTGGCGCCTAAGGGATACCAAGGGCACCGCCCCCCGGCCCTGGGGGGGGGTATAATTGCCCTCCCCCCCTCCCTCCTCCTCCCCCCCCCCCCCCCCCCCCACACACTCACACACAAAAACAAGTTGGTACGCCACTGGCAACAGCAGACACAAAACAGAATCTCATCAGAAAGGAAATTTAGCTTCGCCACACTACCGGCAATGTTGCAGTGAAGCACTCGTCGCAGAACGATGCATGCAGAAACACTCGCGCATTTATTTATACCTAGTTAATGCATACATTGATGAATGTAAAATATTTGTATCAGGAAAATTATAGCGCTAAAAGCGTTTATGTTTGCGCGAGAATAAAGAAATCTATTTCTTGTCAGCGTATTTTCGGAGCACCTGCTGCAACCAAGGCGACTGATTCAAACTGTCCATCGCCTCTGGTCCCGACAGTTCGTTTATCTCCAGGACTGTATCTTGACTGCTATTAGACGAATCGGATGCAGACAAGAAATGAGTGTCGTCACCTCGCTGATAAGTGACCCGTACATCATACTTAGACCACTCCCGCGAACGAGCGTCCGAACTTTCGGTTAAATCTGAAAGGTCATCCGCGCTTTTGTAGACATCGCCATCGGGTGGACTTCCCGTGCCATCATCGTCATGAAGAAGGTCGGGATCTTTGAAAATGCTTTCATCTTCGAATGATCCTGATGCTTTTGCTGGGTCCTTCTGATGTGGAGCACGGAGTTCACGCTTCTGCGGTTTCTTAGGCGCCACAGGAGGTAAATCTGAAGAGCTGCTATCATCAGGGAATGAGCCCAAAGGTTCATCCGGAACGTTTGGATACGAAGGGCGTTGTCTAGTCTTTGAGGGTCCCATATGATCGCCAAAATCCAAACTTGAAGAGTCGTCATCGTCTTCAGACAGATCTTCAGTCTGAAACGATGTCATACTATGGTCATCTTCGCCAGTTCTTCCGGACATCTCTGTGCTTAAAAGCGGGACTTCGTCTCGTGGATGAGTTGCAGCTTTTCTACTTCTTTTTTTCCGTAAAATTTTCAAGATGCCATCAAAGGCACCAGATAATCCGTCTCCGGGATCATGATCCGAATGGTCGCCTTCTTCATTCAGGGATGGTACCTCGTCGGAAGCATCGAGATACTCATAGACGGCATCGAGAAGTATTGGTCCGCAAAACTTGTAGAACCCGTGGCTGCAAACAAACAAAAAATTGCGATTGTTGATCATCAAAAAAATAAATAAAAAAAACAACGTGTACTACTGGTACACACTTTGTAACAATATTCGCCAAAAAAATTCGTAAATTGCCCTGCAATTGTGTTGCATACGTGAAACATTCTGGCATCACGTGACGTCAATTTCCCCGTTCAATTTAGCCGGGAAACTGAATTGGTGTGTAGGTCAGATGACGTTAATTTTCCCGCTAAATTTAGAGGAAAAACTAAATTGCTGTATAGGTCACCTGACGTCCCGTGACGTCAATTTCCCCGCTAAATTTAGCCGAGGAACTGAATTGGTGCATAGGTCTGTGACGCCCCTTGATGCAACACTGCGCGCGGTGCATTATGGGGCGTCGCGTGCCACGGCTTCACGAAATGCGAATTCACGAAATCCGAAACAACCAAAAAGGTTTCACGTTAAAAAAAAAAAAAAAAAAAAAAACTATTATGGAACAGAAAGCTCGTTTAAAACAACGTTCAATAAAAACAAAACACTAATGGCACACAGTAGTATATAGTTACAGAGATAGTGCGAGTGATCCCACGAGGCCTAGTCCAAGGCAGTAATCCCGAAGTGCACCTACCAAACAAATACCACCGTATGAAACGTTTATTTTTCTGCTCTTTGAAGAGAAAATAAATTGCGCCCTTTGCTCTAACACGCACTCACTGGAGCACTGGTCTTTGGACGTCGCGCCGCGGCCCCAGGTCACGTAAAACGTCGGACAGTCGTGGCAACACATGGAAGCGTGAGCCTCGTTGAACTGGGCGACGGCGCAGAAGTAGCACCGACCCTCCAGGCCGTACAGTCCTGGAGCACAAGCCACTGAAACACCCGTAAATAAGTATTTATCGTGTGATCAAAAGGGCCAACTGTACTTTAAAGCTGAGTAACTGTAATATGGTAATATAGTGAAGCTAACCGGTGTTAAGAATGGAACCTTCGGCGACCTTCTTCCGAGTTTCAACGCTGCGGAAACGAGTCAAGACGAGTCCGGGACCGTCGCCCGCTTGTCGGGGCCTGCGCGAAACGAGTCCCGACGAGTCCGGGACCGTCGCCTGCGTGACGGGGCCTGCGGCAACAAGTCTCAACGCGCCCGTGACGTTAGCGGGACGTGTGTGTGTGTGCGTGGTGGTTGGTGCGCTCGGGAAAGGGAGAGAGGTATGGCCTAACTGCTGAGAACTTTGGCTACGTCACACTGGACGACGGGTTGCTGCATCGCACTGGCTGCCCTGGCGGGGAGTGAGGGAGAAACGGACCCTATATAAGGCGGAGCGCGAGGCTGTTCCGTTGTTCTCTCGAATTTGACGACTGTATCGCTACCATGTAATTAAACCGTTCGTTACGTTACCAAGTCTCCCACCTCCACTGAACCCCTCGGTTCTTCACTTCGGGGATTGGACGTCGTCACGAGACAGGAAACCTCCGGACGTGCGGCCTAAACCCCGCCTCGAACACCGGGCTGAATGGCGCTTGTGCGGCCACGTGATTCGACAGCGGACCACCGCATGCATAATCAATTCGCGATTTGCTCAATACTTGAATCGCTTCGCGCCGGAAAGTCGCCTTATAGCAAATCATTGCGTGGTATGGCTACAAGAAGACACAGGTTTGCAATTAACATTGCCAAGACGTTCATATAATCTGTTAGCCAGGAAGACGTTACGGACGGAGCAAAGCACAAAAATAAAAACAAACAAAAAACACGGTCATTTTTTTTTTTTTTTTATCTTGGCCTCTATGTGTTTTCCTGAATATGGTGAATTTCCCGGATTTATCTCGACGACCCTGTATTGGAAAGGAGGAGCGACCCGTGACGCTCCAAGCGGTTAACTTCAGAACTACACGGATGGGGACAACAAACACAATGACTCAGCGCTCGGCCCAACATAACCGAACGCGGCGTCAGCGTTCGGCTGGAGTTCGTGTCCTCCGGTGAGGCGGTGGAGGGACTCTTTTGTTACCACTCCGGCCTGCATGAACAATGCAGCATGCACTGTGCCCAGCTCAGCACAAAAGCCGAACACTCTCGAGAAAAAAG